TGTGTGTGTGTGTGTGTGTGTGTACGCGAGCGTGCGTGAGTTCGGAGCAGGAATATTAAAAGACGACGCCGGCTGTAGGTGATTTCTCGATCGACGCGCGACGATTCATGTGACTGGTGTGTGGAACAGGCATGAAAAAGAACGGTGTTGCTGTTGTTATTATTATTATCGAACAAACGAACAACACGGTTGTTCTTTGAACGGGTTCTCGCAGGAACACGTGTATGTTGTCCCGCTCGTGGTGGTTCGTCGTCCCAATCATTTAGTGTGTTGTCGATAAAAGAAAGGAACGACAAAGTGATCGAGGAGCATACATGTATACGTACATGTACGGTACATGCACGCGAAACGGAGAAACGAAGAAGTGGAGAGAAAGAACGTAGTGAAGCTCGTGGTGAAAACAAGTGGAAGGGACACAGGATAGGGACACGGTTAACAGGAAGAACGAGGACGGCAGAGACAGTGTGTCAAACGGTTGCCGCGACCAGAGTTCCTTCGTCTCGTCGTGTCGATATTATCGGTGATCGTGGATGAGCGTTTCTCGATTTTTGGAGCCCACCCCGAGGTGGATGTAGCTACGGCGGCGGCGACGACCCATCATCGAAGAAGAGAATTTTGGAATGAACGTCGCCAGGGCGGAAGAACGGCAACGATAGTGGCAGCAGCGGTGAGTGGGTCCTCTGCGACTACGACAGCGACAACGACAACGACAACGGCAACGGCAACGGCAACGGCAACGGCAGCGACAACGACGGCGACAGGGCGACCGGACGGGTGGAGTGTGCAGCGAGAGAGAGAGAGCGCGGGGGATCACTCTCGCTTTCGTTCGGCTCTCCCTCTCTATCTTTCCTTCTCTCCTCTGTCCCTCTCTCCCTCCCTCTCTTTCTGCTTCTCTCCTTTCTCCCTTGCTCGCGCAGCGGCTGCCGCTGCTGCCGGTCGACTAGCAGGAGAACGGAGAGAGAGAGAGAATACAAGAAAGAGAGCGAGAGAGCGCCGGAGGAAGAGAAGCGTCGCGCGGAAGACAGAGCTGGAGCAGCGTGTGCCGGCCGAGCGACGAAGAGGGAGACAACTCGTCCAACCGAAGAAACCGAGAAGAAGGAGAAGGAGAAGGGTAAGTACGCGAGCCAACGTTAACGTGTTTCCGTGGATCTATCGATATACGACCGATAGAAACCAACAACCCGCCTCGATCGCGTTCTTTAGCTTCTTCTGGTTGCGTCGTTGCGTACGTGACGTCGTGTGTTATTGTTGACATTGAGGAGATGCTCCGAACGAACGGATTGCATGCAACACACCGAGAGAACACGCCAAGTATTACACGTACAACGACGACACGGTTCGATGAAAGCAAACTGTGCCCCGATGCACGGATCCCCTTCCTCCCTGTGAACAACCATGCGGAAGTTGACACCCGCGACACGTTTCCGTCGTCCTGGCCTTTTTGCCAAGTCCGCCGATCATCACCACCGCCATCACCATCGGCACCACCTCTACCACAATCTCACCACCACCACCACCACCACCACTAC